AGAGGTTTTTTCGAACAGTAGTGAACTACAACAACAAAAAATTATTTTTTATATTATTTTAAATTTATTGAATTTTTGGCTGACCATACAGCTGTTTCCAATACCCGTCATCAGTGGCCTTGGAAATAATTCTTGTATTTAATTATTTGTAAATAATTATTTTTGAGACTGCAAGTACCTGGAATCGAACTCGTGCCCTGCCAAATTTGAAGCTCAAAGTCAGAGCACTTTCACCAAATGATCCAAAGCCGTACTTGACTTTTTTATGTTCGCATATATTTCTGGAGTTTTGTTACTTATGTTATGAAAAATTTGATTAATAATTTTACTTGCTGTGTTTATATTAGAACTAAATTATAAACCAGCTGTAGAATAATTTAATTAATTTATTGATTATATTTTTATTTTTAATTGTTAGATTTCAATACTATTCTGTTCGTAGAGGCAGAATAATATTTTTATAATAAAATGTAAAGTATTTTTCTTTAAATTTTCACGCAAATCCTACAATTGCAATTCTGAATAAAAATAATAAAATACAACGACTTTAATTGCAATAAAAAAAAATATTCTGAAGTGTGTTCTCATAGTAATTTATATTGATAGTAAATTTTTGACATGAATTTAAAATTATTATTTTGAATTTTTAAACATTGATCGTTTATTTCAGAGACCCCAATATCTTTCCATTGCAACAAGTTGGTGTAAGACGGACAAGTAAACCGTCATGACGGCATAGACTTTGGCGGAAAATTTTCATTAATTCCTTTCAAATTAACATCCAAGAAAACTTTAGCACTGTCAAAAAAATACATTAGGAAATCATTCCGTTAATTTAAGAAATGCAATTGAAATACTACTACAATGTCCTGCTTAATTTTGCCTTTTCTCCTGTAGCTTTTGGGTGCAGTCATCTTTGTTTAGCATTTCATCATTTCTACGCCTTAAGCTAATCTCAGATTTACTCCTACTGATTCTGACCAGAAGTTTTACTCGAACAGACGATTGGCTAGGAACATATTGAAAACTTTCGCTAGCAGTAAAACGGGTTAATGGGACAAACCCGTCTTTGGATTCAACAGACAATTTGGAACAATTCAGCTTATGTTCAGTTAGTTTATCTACACAAAAGGCCTTGTGACAAAGTTCACACACCTCCATTTTTGCTTGGATCTGAGTGATTTTCTACATAAAAAACAAATTTGGTTAAATAATGCAAAATGTTAATGTATTATATGATTAATTAATAATAATTATAAATTAATAATCAAGGCACGTCTATGTAAATATAATTTTTATAATATTCATTATTTATAATATGCGGTATAGTCTCAATATCGCGAAGTAATAAATATATACAAGTCTATCAGTGATGATATCATATATCATATCGCATATGATTGTGATTTAATAATTAGTATGGAAAAGTGATTAAGATAAGATTGAATTATATCCATATTAAAACAATTATTTTGATTTATTTACTTATCTGCTCAACAAGATGAATCTGATCTCGAAATTTATATATATGACCAAATAATAAAAAAAAATTAGATATTAATTTTTTAAGTAATTTGCGAAATTATTTTGATTTTATTTTAAAAAAAGATAAAATAAACTAAATCAAAATTTCTTGCTTATAATAAGAGAGTTTTAAAAATAACCGAGAGTATTATTCATCTTCATCGTGTATTTGGGTGTACTAAAGTATATATGTATCTCAATTAAATAATAAATATAGTAATTGCTATTGGAACATTTTAAATTAAAATTGAATAATATTTATATAGAACCATTAGTTAAAACCCATGCCTAGTAAGCCATTTTACTTACAATAAACAGTCGTTGGCTCATAATTACTCCAGATCGCTTTGGGTTAGGTCAAGATGATTGGCAATTGAACAAAAAAATATCTGGAAATAATAGCTGAAAAAAAAAATTTATAAGATTTATTCTTTGGACTAAAAATTTTGAATATGTAAAAAAGTTTTTTAATTTTGTGAAAAAATTTTTAATTTGTTCACATTGTTGAAGTATATTTACTAACATGCGAGAACAAATAGAGAGCAATGCGTTCACAGTTTCTATTTTTATCGAATCAGATGTAGAGGGTCTTCTCAATATTTAGTTGTTTTCCATACCCAAAATATGAAAACAAACTCTGTAAAATGTGAAATAAATGAAATTATTTATAACTAATAAAGTCAATAAGAAGGTAATAAATACAATAATTCATTAGTTCCTTAATAAGTCTTTGAGTGAATGTATCAGATATATACCTATTTTGACGCTACATAATTCTTGCACCTAACAATGAATCTATAGAATCAAAAGAATTTTATCTATAGATAGAATCTATCTACCTATTGTTATCTATCTATATATAAGGTAGATATGTACCAAAAACAGATATATAATTTGTAGGTAATATGTGAATTATGCGATGTCGACAGCCACATTTAATATTAGTATTGGAGTCGATTTAGTAGTAGTAGAATTAGCCATAGCAATTAGTAAAAAGGGATTAGTGGATGCAAAAATTAATTTAATTTTTGATTAAAGATAAATTTTTTTTGACTGACAAATGACTTGTTTTAATCTGAATTTTGTTTTGATAATCTTGTCATAAAAATAATTACTGAACGAAATATTTTTTTTTGTGAATTGCGACTAATATTATTTTGGCAACCATGGATACAATTCGTCTAAACTATTACAATCATTTAATTAATATTGATATATGTTTTTGTGAATAGAAGCTAATTTTAAAAAAATTCTGATTGATAACTTTTTAATTGCAATATAAAATAAATTTAAATGGAAGCAAATTTTTTGCACATTTAAATAAAAAAATGTATTTTTACTTACAAATTACAGATGGGTTTTCTTCAAATCACTGATAACAATTTAAACAAAAACCATTTAACAAATTTTAAAACAAATTTAGGACCAAAAATATTTGAAACATTCTATATAGGAAAAATATTATAACTGAAAATATTAATATTAGTTTCAAAGCTAAAATATATTATTAATCAAAGGAAACTTGGTTAAGCCAAATTCAACACTTTCTAGTTGTAATTACAGGCAAATATGTACTTTGTATTCATATTTATATAAAAATAATTACTTCTTTTCAAATAAATAATAATATTTCAGCTAAAAGAGGTTTCTCAATGAAATCGTATAGTACCATTACGAATATACTCGTTTAGTTAAATAAAAGTAAACAAACTCAACTAATTTGATTAACACTAATATATTTCAGTTCTGATGTAAGGATAAATCAGAGAGGGTATCAAAATGTGTATCGGATTTCTGAGAGGCTATACCAGACTGAGATATCAACTCAACAAAATAGACTTTTGAAGAATCAATATCTACCAGTTTTGGGAAATTATCGTGAACCGTTCGAAGATATTCTCGGTGAATGCTCTAAAGTAAGCAGGGTTATATATCTTCTACCTATTTAATTTCTGTATTAGACAATTTAATTAAAATAAGAAGCTACTGCCATGGGTTTACACAACAATTTACATTTGTATGCATCTTTCTGATAAGCGCACAAACGTTCCCAACAAAAAAGACGTTTGTTTGTAAGCCTTTGAAAATTCGTTGTGAAGGGTATTCAGTCTTCTTCCATGTCGAAATTAAATTCTTTTTTTTTTCTTTTCATTAGAAGTGGGATTATTTCTAAATATTTAATTAATTTCTATATATGGTATATTATTAAATTTCAATCTGTTTTAAATAATATAAAAATTTTGCTAATATCTTCTACTCCCATTGTAGAAATCTCAATAAATTCATTTAATTTTAGTGTTTGATTAATTTAAACATTATTTATCTTTTTTATCCTTTAGCATTAAGTATTTATTTATTTTATTATTCACAGGATTTGATTGCACAGTAGGGATTTTATACAAAGTAGATGGTAATACTGAAAACTGATACAAATAGAATTTAAAGTAAAAGTGATCTCAGCTACATAAATAAATTGTCAATGAAATTTTAGATAGACAATATATGTTTCTCTAAAAAATATTGAACTATTATAGAAAACTGAAAAAAAAAAATAAAAATAGCAAAGAAACTACTGAGTAGAGTCTTAAGCAAAAGTAACACAATTTCCCAAGAAACAGCATCACAGCAACGATTTATCAATTCTCGAAAGCATATGCCGAGCACATAAACACAATCGAAACCGAAAACTCAAACCGACAATGTTGTTAGCAATCCTTGAAATATGTAGATTGCTCTCATTTTGGGATTTGTGCGCTAAAACGCAAAGGTCGGTGTGTTCAGTTCAAGATAGTAGTTGGTATAAGAGTTATCTTAAAATTTTTTTTTTTTGTTAATGTCTGACTATATTTCAATTAAATAATTTTATTTAAAGTTTTTTAATAATAGTAAATAAGTATAATTATTATTATGTAGAAGGATTTGCACAGTGACTTAGAGATCTTTTGCATTTAGTGTATTTTTCCAGGTTCAATATATTGTGGTGTTTTATAGTATTTCCGTTGTCTCATTTAGGCAGTTTAACTCATTAATAGTATGTGCTCATTGCCTTCGTTAAAGCAGTTTATTTGACTTATGTTGGTAATGAAATTTGATTAACTGTACAAAGCACCGTACGGTTAATGTGCTTTTTAACTTAGTTAAGAATAAATCAAGAGAAATCACACCAAAAATATCGAATTCAATAGTGCAAAACATATTTTCCAAAAGGAAAATAATCAAAATTTGACATAATCGATACATAAAACAAATTGTAAATAAACAACAAATCCAACAATTCAAATAAACAAAAGATAATAGTCTTTTAAAATACGTGTTTTTATAAATAAATATTGTACACAACATTTTTCGCATTTTCTTCGTTTTCCATTATCATACAATTAATTTATGCTAACAATACTAAACTAAGTATTATTTGTTAACAATTAAAATGTTAACAAATAAAAGGTCTCCTTTCACAAAAATTTTCGATGCACAAAAACTCTTTCATATGCATAAAGTAACTTGTGCCAATGGAAACGATCGAAGCTTAATTTGATTAATATAAACTAATTTAATTACAGTGGGAACATGGTATAAGGCCGCTAATGAGGATAATTTACTATACAAAAAACTTATATATATATATGCTTTATGAGCTTTTATAAAAAAAACAAATAATAGTACATTCACACTGCCTCATATAGGCAGTTTTGCTCATTATAGCCACTAATAAGGATGATTTGCCATACAAAATGCTTTCATATAAATGAGCTTATTATGCAGCTCTTAAAAATACATTCTCCACAAGGGAAATTTTCAAAACTTGAAATTTGTATCATATGTTTTATATATAAAACGTAAATAAACAACAGCTGAACTGTAAACAAACGTACTCACAAAGTAATTATTTAGTAAAATTTTTGTTTTTATTAATTGAATATGTAATCGATATATAATAAGAATATAAATGGTTTGTTGTATCAATTACATATTTAATTTTTTGTGTGATATATTATTAAGTGACGTTTATAAAAGTTGTAGCAGCTGCATAAATGACCTTATTATAATAAGAACGCTCTCTCATTAATATAAATGAACAAGTATCTATATGAGATAGCGTGAATGTACTGTAAGGCGAAAGTGGAATGCAACCTTTAATAATAAATTTCCCAAAGGGAAAATTAGCGAAATTTGAAATATTTGTCAGTTATTTCATATGTGAGATCTCAACAAGTAACCTAATTCACATGCATTAATCAGCTTATGCTAATGGAAACGACCAAATCTTGATTTCATTAAAATAGGTAATTTAAGCTGCAGTGAAAACATAATATTATCGAATTTTATTGCTTTATCCGATATGAGATACTCATACAGATACTTCTTTTATTTATGCATCAGTGCCGGGCATGTATTTCGAGATATCATTCTGTTTTCTACAAAATAAGTTAAGAATAATATTTTTTTAACAAATCCTTTAACATTTTAAAATAGCGTCTATCCCTAATAGCGTAAACTCAACTCTTTCTGTGCTTATATGTACTTATATCCGATTTACGTTCGCAGTAGAAAGCAAAGCAAAGTATCGTGTTACTTGTGTACTGAATATACAAGACAGCTACAACAATAAAAACAACATTATTAGCATTTAAATGTATTACAATATTTTTAAGGATTTGTATTCGATGTACCTGTTTCAATCGTGGAATCACATTCAATTTACATATCTAGGAAATCTACTGTATGGCTAATTTGACCAACGCATTTGGGTTTGATAGTTTCGTTTCTATTTGGCCTTGTGCGGTTACGACTTTAATCAGTGCCAAAGAAAATTATCACAGCAATGGAAGTACAAACAAAACAAAAAGAAAAAGAAATATTAAAGAAGAAAAGAACATTGACAACAAATCTCAAGAGTATGAAGGAAGACGTTCAAAAGTAAAATGCTAAAAATCTTGAAAATTGACGTATCAACGTTCGTTGAGAATACTAATTCCTTGCTGTGTAAAGCAAGTAAAATAAACAAAAATATAAAAATAAAATATGAGATAAAATAAAAATAAAAAAATAAAGAATAAAATTAAATGAAAAATTAAAAAAAAAAAAATTTAAATGAGTAAAAAGGGAAAAAAAAAATAAACAATGAAAAAGTATAAAAAAATAGTAATAGAAAATAAAACCTTAAAAAAATATTTGAAAACAAAAATTAAAAATTAAAAAAAAATCAGCTAATGTGCTTTTTGTACTAATATTTCTTCTGGCATCTCACGGGATCAATGATAAAGATAATAAACCAATACCAAAATGCTACAAAGCTGAAAATATCTTAATAATAGGTGTACTCGAAAGGTGCAAAGTGTAGCAAAAAACAACAAGTCGCTTGCTTAAAGTCGCTAATATCTACACAAAACAACGACACTACTTTTTCTATCTAAACGACTAGTTATAAAGTCGCTAAACATCTTGGCGACTGTAGAAAAAAAAATGTTACCAAAACGATCTATTGCGAACTAAAAGTATTACAGTAGACGCGTAAAATTTTGTTTAGCAAACTAGACTGACTGTCACAATAACCTAACCGTACTTTTTTTTTCTATTACAATTATTGAAAGAATGAAGGCTAAGACGTCGCTCTCATTTTAGGAAGGAAAGGTAGAGCATAAAATCTATTTTCGCATACTATATACGACTTTAATGGTGAAGCGGGATATTGAAATGTTATCTCTCAACTCCAAATACTTTAAGCTGTAACAAACAATTGTATTTCAATTGTTTAGAAGAATATCTTACATAAATGTTTCATATTGTGAAGTCTTACAAGTGTTCAATCAAATCGTAGAATTTCAATATGAAATAATATATATTTCAAAATAAATTACGTTGTAGATAATTACATACAAAATATAATACAAATTGACAGATTATGAATATTACTATTAGCAGTAACAGTCCAATGAAGTAGCATTTTGATGCAGTAGACACATAATAGACACATATTCGATTTGTTCATACGCTTTAGCATGATAGTATTATTAGATTCGAGTGAAGAATAAATGGTACAGTATATGGTACAGTTAACTTGAAAAAATAAAATTGGATTTCTCGACGAATTCTTCGAACGGCACGGCTTGGTCTGAGCCAGTGAGAGACTGCTAGGTTGGGAGCTCAACAACTGATATTTCTCGGCTTTCATTACAAATGCAGAGTATCTTCTGTTCAATAAGGTTCGGTAAGTAATACAATGTTCTACCACTCGAGAGCCAGCACTCCAATGTTTTTTTGTTCTTATTCATTCTAGTTGGATTCTATGGGAAGCTCAGACACTTTTTAACTCATTGCTTGTCTTTATATTGTCTCTAGTTTTATTGGTTCAAACTTATCTCAGCTATCTTTGGACTTATCGTTTATAAATAACATATCTAGTTTTTTTGATTCTGACTAACAGATTGGGATAAGTAGTTCGAGTTAATCTTACTTATTTATTCAGACGCTGCGACTTTATTAACTACTTCAAACACTGGTATATTTTATTATAGAATTTTTTAACATATCTTTTTAATGAAATTTTTTGTATATTATTACAGTGGATATAATTTTAAAAAATAAATGAATATTGTTGTGCAGTATAATGTAATTAAGTAGGTTGACAGTGTGTCAACACTCCGTTGCAGCACTATTAACTATCTTCATCTCCTTATTATCCTTTTTATAAAAAAAATATTGTGTCTTTAAAGTGTCTCGATAACTTATTTCTAAAGATAAGAACAAATTTCAATCTTTAATAAATTCTTAAATTCAAAAAATATTTATCAGTTCTAAATGAAATAAAATGTTTTTAATTAAAATAGATAAATATTATTGTTTTATCGCTCACTTCCCGAGCTTTAAAAAATGCTTGAAGTAATTTTAAGCTATTTGTAATAATACAAATTATTTTCATTAAATGATTCAAAGTATTTAATCCAACCTAGAATAACAGCAAAAAGGGAAATCATCTCTGCAATATCCTTCTAAATATTCTTCTTAAAGCTTTTCCAAATGTATTCAAAGGAGAAAAATTGAGAATTTCAAACAGTTTGCTGAAGTTGCCAGCGATTAGTCAGGATGCATTACAATTCCATTTTATTCCCTTCAACCGTTATTTTCTGTTTTTGATTTTATTACTTTCCCATAGCAAAATACAGTTTATGCTTTTTTTTGAGATACTTTTTGCAACATCCTAGTTCGTATTGAGCTATTGCAACTGGGACTTAAGCGGTGTTAAAATAAAATCAATTTAACATAAAATAGCAGCTGCGTGCAATATTCATCAAACTAAGAACAAATGGAACTAAAGTGAAGAGCTAGTGAAAGTGAAGGGAGTTCAATCCTAACTCAATTTCATTAAAATATTGATGTCAAAAATGGGTAAGGGCAATCGGAACACATCACCTGCGATTTCAGTTGCTCATCAAAACATGCACGAGTATACGTATACGTAAAGGATACATTTCACCTGCTGCAATCATTGTTGGGAACGAAACCACAATCCAACCGAAGGCGTAATACCCTTGTGAATTGACCTTTTATGTTGGCAATTTTTGCTATTCGTTTTCCCTTTACTGTTGTCTCTGAACTATTGTTGCCTTTTCTGAATTTTAGATTTAATGCTTTCATACTATAGAAATGCTTTTGACAGATACTTTCGGAATTTTGTTTTATAGAAAGATGGAATCTGTTTCTTAATATATCCCTTTACAGTCTCAGTTTTGTCAAATTATTGCACGATGCCAATATAAAATTTATTTGTCAGTGATTTGACGCATATCATGTTCACTTTTTTTTACCTCTGTTACCTTTTATATCAGTGATGCTGAAGGAAACAGTTTTAGGCTATTTAGATGGGAATTGATAATTTTATTATTTTATTCAAGTGCAACTTAAAGCCAATAGAATTAATAAAAATTTTAAAAGTAAAATAGTAACATATTAAAAAGTAATATATTTTTACATTAAATTGGTATTAATTCTTTAATTTCAATAAATTAATTGCACTCTTCACACTCTTTTTGGAATAAGGGTTTTACTCTGAATACTCTAAAAATGGACAACACTGCGTAGGATACATCTACCAAATACATTTTAGGTAGACACAACTATTCCAAAACTTAATATTGTATTTATCATTATATGGAATAACTTATGTTCCCCGCTTGCACCAACAAGTATTGGTTGAATATGTTACTATATTACAAGTGAGTTATATATCACTATATCACACAACAGATACAATGTCTGTCACATACGGAGGTGTTAAAACCGTCCCATGCATTGAAAAGAAGTATTTTCAGGCTGTCACAGAATATAGCATGTCACTAACTAGAAACTGGGACTATATAAGCATAGATATGACGTATGCAAAAGAAATGAATTTATGTACGATACTATAATCGTGTACTGGGCCGATCATAGAAGATGATACGATAATATGTTTATTTGACACATTAATACTGCATGGACTGTATGGGCACATAACCCGAATGCCTATTAAATGAAGACAGCAGAAAATATTCAAGTGACCTTCAAGTGTGAAAGTCTGCCAAAAAAAGATGCCCAAAAGTAAATCTACTGACTGCAGTAAGAATGATATGAGAAAACCATAGAAATATGTTTGTAGAATGGTAGAAAGAAGTTGAAATGACAGCTGTACATGTACTTCCATCTGTTCGTAGTACAGATTCTTCTCCCAGTTCTGCAGTACTGTGTATTTATTAAACATACTTACTTGCAATAAAACTGAGTAGCTTTATTTTGTTTAAATATTTTTCAATTGTAAAATATTTATTTTATTTTCATTATAAATTTTTTTCACATGAGATTGTTTCCAATTCCATTATCGAAAATATACTAATTTTAGGCAAACAAATAATTTTGGACACAAAAATTAAGGTTTTGGTTGCGGTTATAAGGAATCGGAATTTCTATGTAAGTTTTTCCATAATTTTTTTATAGCTAATTATCACAGGTCTCACAAATTTCATTATCAAATTTCCAATTTTTTTTTAAATTTATGTACACTAATAAAATCTGGGGACTTAAAAAACTGCAAATTTTAGGCAGACGAAAAACTTTTTGGACAAAAAAGAATTTTTGTCACCGATTAATAATCATAGTTGGAGTTTCTGTATTAACCTTTTTATATATCTTTGTTTACATATGTATAAGATATACGTAAAGTTATATCAGGGTTTTAGTGATTACTCAGTTTTGAACCACGTTTTAAAATTTTTTTATTTTACATTTTAATGATCAAATGATCTAAAATTGATATATACCACTGGGTGTGGTAAAATTTTTAAGTCTTATTATATATGTTTTCATAAATTGATTTTTTTCAATTTTTGTATTAAAGAAAATTGCAAATTTCAGGCAAACAAAAACTGTTTTGGATGCAGAATTGAATTTTTTTGATGTAATAATTTGGAATTTGGTGGTAAGTTTATATAATACCCAATTTTATTGTATATTTAAATAATATGATGAATCTAATCATTTTTGTTGAAATTTTGTGCTATATAGTGTTTAGAAATTTTTTCAACATTTATGCGGTTATTTTCCTCTGTAATCCAAAAACAAAACCCAACTAAGTAAGTAGACGTTTGTATCAAATTCTATATAAATATATTTATATTTTTATATATATGTAATATATGTTTATAAATAACATTCGTATATGTATCTAAGATATATATCAAACTATAACACTATTTAATCTATTTAATAACAACGTCTACTGTATATATTGCAATAGACACTCAGTTAAACGAATAACAATATAAGAATCCCTATATAGGGGAGACTATCAAAAAATTGAAAAAAAAATTTATACAAAAATTGGGCAATGATTTCTCTTAACAAGATACAGCAGGATGTGATGAAGGCATCCTAGTAAGCATCTGGGCTGGCTTGTTAATCTGCCTCCTTATCAGTTCCTAATATGTATGAGTAGAATTTAGCGTAAATATCTTTTTCAAATTTTGTTTGTATGTAACAGCTTTCAAATCTCTTATATATATATATTATTATGATTTAGGTCGTTTCATTTTTTGTGCATAAAAATTTTTACTTTAGGCATTTGAAATAAAATTCATACTTTATTTAATTCTGACATTTTTTGTTTTTATAAAAACAAAACGAAAAAAATATATTGAATTTTGTTTAAAATAACAATGTGTTAAAATGTGTATATATATGTAATTATATAAAAAACTTCAAAAAATAATTTTTTATATTTTAAAAGAGAAAAAAAATTCCATTAAAAACGTTAAGCAAGTTGCATTAATAAATGCTTTAAATATTTAAATATATATTCAAATATTAAGTATAAATATTATGTAAATATTAAATATTAATGTATATAATTTAAAAGTTTTTTTAAAAATATTTAAAGAGTAAAAAAAATTTGTATATGATAAAAATCGAGTTTTTAAAAAATATATGTACAGCAAAAGTGTATTATTTTATCTTATCTTATCTTGTATAGTATCTTATTCTCTTATTTTATTTTATTCTAAATTTTCATTTAAGATTTTATAGTTTTTAAAATTTTCACATTTTTCATTTATCATTTCAGACTCAAAATTTGCAGTTGTTATCAAAATTCAATCTGGAAATACTAATCGAATTGGAAACTAATCTGTAAGTTAAAAATATTTATTGTATATAAATAATAAAAAAATAAATATTTTTGTCATTTTTCTATTAAGTAATAAACATGTCAATATTTCTATTTTGAAAGTGTGTTAGTCAGTATCGGCTGACTTAATAATTATTTATTTTAATTTTTGTCAAAAATTATTTTGTTCAAAATAAAGCCGACTGGTTTGATGTGACGACAAAAATTTTTGACAAAATTTTGACAACAAATTTTTGACAAAAATTTTTGAGGTGTAATACATGCTCTAATACGTATTTTCATTTCTAATTTATTTCAAGAATTTTAATAATAAGAGTTATAGAGCCATGGCGGTGATAAAGCTCCAGTTATCTCGATAACTGAAGGTTTAGACACCAAATAATGAATGTGAAGTCAATTAATGTTCATAGACCAGACCAAATCCAATTTAAGAAAATATTAATACATTTATAAAACTAAGCTTTAATGTAAAAATAGATATTAAAAATGTTTATTATTATTATTAAATTTCAGACATAGAATTTAAAATTTAAATAACATTCGAACTGGTACTAAAAGCCACGTGAGTATGCATTCATATAAAGTAATAATTTACATATATCATTTATATTTTTGTTCAAATATAAACAATTTAATTTAAAAATATTTTTCACCGTGTTTCTTTGAATATTTAAAATCTTTGGATATTTTTATATTTTTAGGCATCTAAATTTTACATTTTATATAAGAATCGAACTGGAAATTATTGGTAAGCTTGCATTTTTTCTTATTCTAATATATAATTTTATATAATTAAAGCCATATAATTTTTTGACAATATTTTAGTTAATGAAATAACTTAATAAATCTTCCTACTTACAGATATTTTAAATTTTATAAAATAGTAAATAAGAAAAATATACTTTTATTATTAATATTAATATTAATATTAATATTATTAATGTATTATTATTTTGAAGCCTTCTTCAATATAAAAAATATCACAATACATAAGTCAGATTACTATTTTTTTACCCAAAACAAAATCAAAACAAAACGAATATCTACTATAACATAAATAAATATATTTAGTCATTTTTTTTATATATATTTACAAAAATTTTTAATTTCATACATCAGGTTTCAAGGATTTGACAAGATTTAA